AACTACCAGAGCCGTTATTATGATAAGTAGAATTATTAGGTTGTTCGTAATTTCGGTTCAAAATCTGATGCGGACTTGGCAACTGAATTGCTTGAGTTGGCGACATTCCGCTTATTATATAAGCGAATTTTTTTTTATGCCGCGAAATGAAATCGCTCAAGTATTATTCTTTACTTTTTCGCTGAGTAAAAGTTTTATCAAAAAAAGAAAAGATTTTAACAAATAGTATTTTGCAGGTCTTTCAGTAATTTAAACTTTTTTATTTCTTTTTAATTCTTAAAAGCATTTTAGGTTGAACCTACATATTCCTGCTGACGATAGAAAGTTAAATAAGGTATATAAAATGAAAGCCAATTGCTATGTCTATTAAATAAAATTTTATTTTCCCTCCCTTACGTTTTTGATGAACTTTATATTAGAGAAGAAAAAAAAAATAAATAAATAAATAAAAGTAAATTCTCAGTGATGAGGTGAAAGGGACATTCAAAAGGCCTTTTGTTGTTGATTGAAACTCAGTATGCCCCAACACTGCCCCGCGAGGATTCATCAAATCAAATGTAGAGTTGATTTTCATTTATTCAACCTGTAAATTCTAGTATCTATCAATTCTGTTTCTGTAAAAAAAACCATGAGTTCTTAATGCCAAACATGTGGACACAGACGAGTGCTACAGCAATTGCCACATTGAGTAATATTTTTTTGCCCAAAATTATTATTATTATTGGTAAAAAAAAAAAAAAAAAAAAAAAAAAAAAGCCAATTTTTCAGTTTTTAAATTATATAAATCTAAGAGTATTTTAATAACTATTATCATGTACATTAGTCTAAATTCAAATATACCAATTTAATATTATAAAAATCATAAAAATTATTCATTTTTTTTCTTTTTTTTGATATTTTTTGTGTATACATACATATAATATCCTGATACAAAAAAAAAAAAAATAAATAATGTACTCGGTCCACCAAAGTCTAATAAAAAAAAGTCATATAATAAAATATCGATGGCTACGCTTACAAATTTATTCTACATTATAAAACAGAAAAAAAAAAATAAAATAAAAAATAAAATAAAATAAATCAAATGTGAAATAAAAAAGTTTAATACATAATATAATTAAAGATTGTAATTATTATTTACTCTTTCGAAAAGCTGTCCATCGAAGAGATTTTACTTTTTAGGTCCATCGCTTCGATTTGATAAAATTGATCAATCTGACGTAAATTGAAAACGAGGTCTAAGTGAGAATGATCCTAAATCTTCAATAGCCGAAATGTTAATATCACTTGCAACAGATTGTTGCTATTATGTTGCGATTGATACCTTTGAAATCCAGTCAACCATCTCCTGTTTTGAAGAAGCTTGAAGAATGTACGCATTATTATTCGTATATATTGCAAACACATTTTGTCTCTAGTGAATAGAAATAAAAAGTATTATTATATATTATGTAAAATGTTATGAGTAAATCTCAAAAAAAAAAAATGAAAATGAAAATGAAACAAAACCTGCAACATGTCTTCTAGATCTTTTTTATAATCAACCCTGACCGATGCAAGGTTGATAACACCTTGCTCTTCCGTTTCTTTTTGAGATTCATAGATAAAGAGGTATGGTCTATATAAAAATTTATAAACATATCAAATGAAACAGAAGAATAAAACCTATATTGACAACACGATGATATGAAAATAAATTAAATAAATGAAATAACGTACCTCCTCAAGACATACCAACGCTTGACCCAATAATCGTTCGCATTTTCCGGTGTAAACAAATAACCTTTTTTGGTTATTGTATCACTACGTAGGTAAATTTGTTTCATTAATCTTTGAATTTAGCATAAGTCTTGGGAGAAAAAATTTACATACGTTTTTCCAACCATTCGAACTTGCGCAACCAATTTAGACGGTTTTGTGTTTTTCCAAGAATTGGCATCTTGATGAGGTCCCGATAGAGGAGGCTCTTGATTTATAACGATCTGTTATATTGAAAATTCCATTAAAATTTCTCTTTGAAACATCTTTATACAAACCGAGATATATAAAATCAATAAAAACCTCTTTAGTTATGCCCAATTTTTTCTTCCAAAGAGTAATGGCTTTTTTAGCTAAATCATTATTAGGATTAGAACAACTCTCGAGTTTTTCTTCAGAAGATACTTTGCGAGCTTCGTGTATTGCAAGTATTTGTTTTGTGCGTTCAACAGCCTCTTGCCTACGAATAAGTTCACTGATATTTTTATAGTCCTTAACAAGAGATACTCCACGGGGTTTCCAATTACCCAAAAATTCTTCACCACGAACATATTTATTAGCTGTATTTAATCTCCAGAGTTCAGAAATTTTACGAGTCATGGGTGGTTTTAGAATTACCGAAAACAACCCACTAGACTTCCACAAAACTTTTGACTGATTTATCAATTGAATCAATTTTGATGGTGGACGAGCTTCACGACCTTGGATTTGCACTGCAATATCCATATGGAAAGAAATTGGTTCAACACATTTTTCAGCTTCAACATACCAAGTCAGACCTAATAGAACACGACTACTTGATTGTGTAGTTCTATTAAGAAATATAGAATCATGAAGTGTACTGTCCCATGAAGCCTGAGCAATTATCACACTAGTGCCATCCCTGTTGAATTGAACATTTTGAGCTGGTAACAAGTTCATTTGTATATCATTTTGTACTGGTGATTCAGCTAATCTTCCTTTTCCGTCTAATAATCGAACTCTTCCTATTTCCATCTTTGTAATTCGATTCCAAGGAAATTGTCGACCAGAATTATGCGTTAATGTAAGTACAATACGTCGCTGCAAACCTTGTCTTAAAAAGAAGGCACCGGGATCTAGAGGATTTTGAGAAAGCACTTGCACGGGCACATACTCTCCCGTTTGAGCAAGCTCGCAAACCTGAACCCAAGCTACTACATCATGTTTTTCCTCGGAAACTAATTCATCCTCGGAACGGCGCTCTCTGGGGGCTGAAGTTTCGGATGAACCATTTCCATTAATACCACGATAAAGTGGTCGTTCATTATGATCATCCCATTTTTCCATATCTTCCAATACACAACGCTTTGCACGACCAAATACTTCGAAAGTCAACATGCCATTGATAAGAATGTCCATCATTGCAGGAGTAACGATCATCTTTAAAGGTTGTTCATAATTATAAGTGATTGTTTTGTTTCCAAAATCGCTTACAGTATCTGTTGCGTATATATGTTCGCCCGGTGATAAGGGATGTACATTACCAAAAGAGGATAACTTAAATTGTACATGAACTTGGGTAAATTGTGATTCTTTTATACCGGTGAGCTCTAAAATTTTCACTTCAAATACTACTTGGCAGCCGACTAATAATTTTGAAGAGATCTCTTTTGATTTATCTAAAGAATGTGAATCTTTTGAAGTTGTATCCTCGAAATCGGTTAGAAATTTAATAAGAACTTTACAATGCCCTAAAATGTCACCTGAATATCTACGAATTACAGGTGCATTATGCACGTGTTCAGTTTTCATAAGCAAACATGTCAATCCGACGCTGGCACTTCCAACGAAAGTAAAATTTGGGCAAGGATTTTCATAAAACGGATCTTCCCAATTGAAATGTTTACTATATTGAGGACGATCAATGAAATTATATAAATTACGCATCTTTTGTAAACGAGCTTTGAGTTTATCGAGCGACCATACATAAATAACGTCGTTTTTGGTATCGATAACCTTAACTCCAACACAAGGCTTTTTAGAAGAATGTAATGAAATGTCGTCATTGTTACAGTATTGATTAAGCGCAGATGTAGTTTCCCGGAAAGAAACTGGATTAATATAAGGTTCATCTTCTATAATAGTAAATTGATAAAGAATTTTTTTTCCAAGTTCTTTACTAATGACATTGGCTTCTTTCAATATCACTGCATTACTAAGAATTGTTTCTGCCATTTGGACAAATCTTTGACGTTTCCATTTCTTGAGAGCCATATGAATGAGGCGTAATTCTTCTTCAGTATAAGGAGGAACATCGGGTGGTAAGTTATATTCTTCACAAGGAGCGTTAGATTGCCTTATTTTACGTTGATATTCCTGAGCCTGAACCTCAAGCATTCTTTGCATTTCTTCTTGAACCATCTTAAGTTTCTCTTCCATTTGCTTTTTCTCGGCTTTTAATTCATCAGCCTCAAGATTTGATGCTTCTATTAATTGCATTTTATCCTCATATTCCTGTTTTTGCAAATCAAGCTGCTGTTGCATCTCTTCTTTAATCACTTTAAGTTTATCATCTAATTCTGGTGGCATTTCCGTATAAGGAGATTCGATGGTTTCATAAGTTTCATTAGATCCAGGTTTATCAGATGTATGCGAAATCGTATCATCTTCAAAATCACCACTTCTGCTATCAGGTCGAGTTCTTCGGGCACTTTGAATTTTTTTTAAGTCATCCATCAACCGTTGTAAATCTTCATCTGGTAAAGTTCCAAATGTTGAATCTGCGCCAGAATTCAAATAATGAAGTGCTACTTCTCTCTTTGCAAAATTCCAATCTATTACTGCTTCTGACATAAGAGAAGCTGTAGATGTCGGAGAATCTGGAGCTTTGCCACTATCCTCTCCATTTCCATTCGAAGTTGGTTGTTGAACAATGCTAATGCTAAGTTGCTTCGATTTCGCTCGTTCACGTCTAACTTCTTCAGGATGATTAAAACGAAACACATGGAAATCCCCAAGAATAATACGGAATCCAGATCTTAATCTTTTTGATTTACTTATACGCATACCGTTGACCATTGTTGTACTATTTGCGTAAGGATGCAATGTAACAGCACCATCTATATTTTCGAAATAGCAATGTTCATCTAAAATATTTTCACCACTTAAACGTATTTCAGATTGATTATCAGACTCAAGACGACCAACTCGAGTTTTTCCAGGTTTTATTTGATATACTAAGCATTCCGACATAAGCGGATCTTCATTAAGGTTGACAAGATGTGGCACCTTTTTAGGAGGATGTACACCAACTGCATTTTTTTCAACCATAATACCAAGATCTTCCAATGTCTTTTCACGTTCTCTCTGGATTTCTACGGTTTTGTTTACTTTTTCCTGCCAAGTTTCATTTACTTCATTCATTAATTTTTCAGAAGCTTGGATTTGATCGATTAGCTCCTCTTTTGTTTTCTTTATAGTATTTCCATTCCTATCCTGTAGCACAACCACTTGTTGAGAAGGAGGAACACTAGGATCATAAGAGACATCTCCTCCTCCTCCTCCTCCTCCTCCTTCAACACCAAGTTTACTACGCAACATTAATAATTCTTCTTTGAGTTCACGAATAAGTCTTGCATTCGGGTCTTCGTTAACAACAGCTTTGTTTTTAATGCGTTTAGCTGCATCGGCGTAACGTAAGGTACTAAGCGTTTCATCATAATCAGCCGGAGAAATGGCAGCAATCATAGCAGTTTTAGAGTTACCACCCAAACTGTCTTTAAGTAACCAAGTTAAAATCTAAAAGTGAATTTGTTGTTATATTAGTAAATAAATAATGTAATAATAAAAATTAACAAATCAAAATATTTGTAATGAAAATAACATTACAGAATCTCTATATGGAACAAAGGTTTGGTCTTTTTTCTTTTTTTTACTATCACCAGAGGATGCTTCAGCTAAAGCAGCAATGACTTTACCCAAAGTTGTAAGAGATTTGTTAATATTAGCGCCTTCTTTTAACCGAGTTCCAGTTGCACCAGTTGCATTAGCACGTTCCGAACCAGCCAAATCCACAAGACTGACAATTAATTACGAGGGTTAATAGAAATGGATAAGCCAAGAAACCAAGGAAATAAAAATAAGTAAATTTACCTAATTCGAGATACTTTTTCCGTATCCATATTTGTTTCAGCGTCATGCCTTTTTTGTGTTAATAATAGGGTAAATACAGCATGAGACCGACTTGATGTTTCATTCATATTTGTTGCGGCGACTGTTCTTGCCTAATTTTTTTTTTTAAAAAAAAAAAGGTTATTCATGATGTTAAATGCTTAAACTTATACAAGTTAATGTAATTTTCAAATCATACCTTGTTACCCTCGTCCATTAAATTCTCAATATCTTGAAATGAATTGACAATCAGCTTTGACAAATCTTCTACATATGGACCTAAGGCTGGATGTTCTCTGACTTTGAGATTTCCTTTATTTTTAGGGTTTAACAAATCCCTAACACGTTCATTGTAAATTTCAATATAAGAAACCTGAACTTGATAGGCCACACTAGTATCTTGGTTTCTAATTATACGGTTGAATAGTTCACAGCAAGTAAGGGGTATAATGCCTTTGTCTTCTCCATATCCCATCTTTCAAAAATAATGAAATAGAAAAAAGTTAAATAATGAGTTTATCAAAAAAATTTATCCTAACATGTAATATCTTATGTACCATAGAATAAGATTTTCCTGCGCCGGTTTGACCATCTAAAAAAAAAAAAATAAAATTTCATAAATAACTTCAATATATCGGTTGGTTATATAAATTAAGGATACAGAGACAAACTCACAAGCAAAAATGCATGTATTGTAGCCTCCGAAAGCATGGTCAAGAAGCTCTTCACCAAGATCGTTATATAGCATTGCTTGGGTGGCATAATTCGAATCATTCTTATCAAAAGACCAATACGATTTATCAAACGTAAACGCTTTCACATCTTCATCTCGTTTAGCAGCTTTAGAATTTCCAGGATCACTTGCATCTGGCCTGGTGATAATCGTTTGATCACCTTCCATTCTGATGAGACACTTTGCCCCCCGGGCAAGTTCTATAAATTGAAAAATGTAAATAAAAATTTTATGCATTTTTCTCCAGTTGAATACTTATTAATTTCGAAGATTTGTTGAGTAACGGTTCTATCGTGTTATATATAACGTTAAATAAGTTCGTTTTATTTACCTCTAGAATTCAAGGGTCGACATCTAACAACTACTTTAATATTTCCACCTGCCATGATGACTTAGTTAGCAAGGTATTTTTGTATAAAAAAAAAAAAAATGGGCTTCGAAGCCCAAACTAATAAGCAGATGGTGTTAAATAAAACGGTGACCTAAAAAGAGAATATTGTTGAAAAATAAAATTGACAAAATTGTTTGAAAGACCAAATTTGATATATTTACAATTAATTTAACAATTTAACAGATGGTAAAACTTTTATCAAAACTAATAATAATTTAAATTAATGACAGATAAAAACATATTGAAATGCAGAAATTTGCAAGGCCATAAATCACAAAGGACTCGGCATAGAAACTATTGCGAGCGAGATACGTAGAGTTTATGGGCGGTTTGGCAGCAACTGTTCGTTGCACTGTTTTCCATGTATGGCATTTTTTTGCAATTTTCATGCGGAACATGCGAATATATGATCCATGATAGTATCAGTTATATTAAAAAATTTTAGCTTATGATTTTTTTTTTATCAGTCTTTGTTCAGTTTAATAATTCAAAGGTTATGATTGTTCTGTATCTGTTTGTATTACCCAAAATTGTAGCACAGCCACACAAACCGCCACGATCGCCACAAAAGAAAAAGAAACAATGCATATATATCTAACCAAAACCTAACAAAGGAAAAAAAAACAATAGACAAAACATAATTGAATTAAACCGTTTTCACGTGATATTATTATTAAAAATATAAAACTTTACTTAAAATTTTTTAAGCTTTTAAATTTTAAATTTTAAATATTATAAATATAAAAATATATAATTTTTATAATTATTTAATAAAAATTTAATGATTAAAAAATTGAAGTATTTACTGATGATAGTAAATGTAATAGAATTTAAACCAATTAATTAATCAGTTAAATAAAATAGTATCTTTTAAATAATAAGTATAAAATTATTTATAAAATATTATAAAAAATTATTTATTTAAATGAATAAAATTAGTATTTCTAGTTTAATTAATAAATAACTGAGCTTATATTATGAGTTATAATCATAAGTTTATGCTTTATTAATATATAAAAAATAATTGATTTTTATAAAAATTTCATTTGTAATTAAATACAGTCTTTAATAAAGAATAGTGATAAAATTTATATTTATTTATAAATTGCAATTTATTTCTATTTGAGTACTAAATTTCATATTAAAATTATTATTATCCTGTGTTTATTTAGTTATAAGGTTCTTTACTAAAAGTATTTGTCTTCTACTTTCTTTTTTACTGCTAAAAAATTGATTAGGTATTAGCATTTTTTTATTTTTAAAAATAGTTAAATAATGCAATAGTGGGATACCACTATGTAATATAATTTATATTACATGGTGGTATCTCACTTGCCCTAGATTATATTACCACTATATAATCTGGATACTACTATATGATCTAAATATTACCATATACCGTAGAGCGCTGACTAAACCACCTCCCCTATGCAAAATACCCTTCTAAGGTTTTGGGCCAAAATTTTGTAAAAGACCCAGGTGGTTTAAATAGGAGTTTTTTTTAGTCAGAAAATAGTCGTAAAATTAAATAAATTATGTGATTAATATACCATTACAATATTTATTTATCAAATACACATTTTATTAATTCAAAAATAAAACTTTATTATTTATTCAAACATTAGCAAA